TTTCTGGGAAAGGCACCACTCTCACAGGCGCTATCACCTCACTACCAATTGTAACTGTTGCGCGCGCTGAACATACAATTCCCACAATTTCACCTATGCATACTGTGAGTGCTAACAGGGAGGTAGCAAGTTGTTTTTGATATATCTGTCTTTTTGCATTTCCTAATCTTCCGTTTATATTTTCTCAATGGAGAGCGGCTACTGTTTATTCTCGGTTTTCGTATATGGTACTTTGTCCCTTCCCACACAGTTAATGCATGCTGGTTTTATTTTCGTGCAGTTTTCATATGATTGGTTTATCCATACTCATTCAGTATGAGTGTAGTTTCGTGAACTTTCTATAGTCTCTGTTATAGTTAACTTTGAGTTCCTTTATCGTCAACAGTGGCATTTAATGATCTTTTCACTATTTGAAACTCTTTATGAGGTCTAAGTAGTTTTTACCGCAAATCCTCCTCTTTGTCTCTTTAGAACTCTTCGACTGACTCTGTCTGTCATCTTTCCAATCAACCGATGCTTTCCACCAACAGCGCCATGAGGTGCCTTCAAAGCACAATCAGCCCTCTTATTAAGGCTCCAGGACTTGCACTTCAATCGAGCTCTCCAATCTCTACTTCGTGCACTACAACTGTTACTGGAGAAGGTCAATCCCTAGTTTCGGTTGTCCACGATCGCCCCATTAACAATTCACTTTCTGTTTCTGTATCGGGCGGCAGTAGTAGAGATGGCAGTGGCTTACGTCCTCTCCCATCGTCGCACAGACAGTCCGTCCTATCTTCTGTTCCCCCACACAGCCTGGGTCAGTCAATTACTCCAAGCAGAAAGCGAGCCCGCAAGCAACAACTGCTAGCTCCTCATGGCGTCTCAGCCGCCGCTACCAGTAGAAGCGAATCTCCCTCGAAATCAACCGTACCCGTTGTTGCCACATCCGTGGCTCATGTCAACCTAATCGGAATGCTCCCTACTGCACAAACCGCGGCAAGTCCTGTGCGCTTACCTGCATCCAATGAACAAATAGGTGAAAGGCTACTTTCCAAGAATACGGTGTCTGGAAAGGTACTTATCACAAGTCATTCAAACCAATTACCCACAACAATGACTTCCACCAACTTCTCTTTTTACACTTCGCCATCACTTCCGACGTCGGCTTCCACTGATGCTCAAAAAGTAAGTGCCCATTTTTTTTTTTGATACATTTGCAATTGCCCCTTTTTCGATTCTGGGCCTTCGGTTGCACAGCTTATGTTTGTAGGGTTTGTCTTGACTGTAGGTTTTCCTTGCTGCCACGTTAGTTTACCGGCTCGGGTTTCTGGTTTTTAACGTCTTATATCCCTAATTTTCAACGAGCCCCCCGTTCTTCGACTGCGAAGAACTCTAAGTAAAACTCGTAGTTTCCTATTTATGGTGGTGTCAATTTTATTCCCTTTTATTCTTGTCTTTAGTTATCAGCCATTTCGTCTGCCCCTCCAGTCTTTTAGGTCCCCCTGTAGCTCTTGATCGCAGCCGTTTAGTATCCCGACGGTTATGGTATCGCAGTATTTGCGCTTATAATGTTTGCAAATGTAGTCCCCTGCGTAATCGACTGTTCGCGTCATAATTTCAGTTGGACCAGTCTTGCTTCCCAGCACGACTTCATCTAATTGTGAATTTTGACCGTGTCTATTACTAGCGTGGTTGAGAAGTTCAGCCAAACTTCTCCGACATAGTTGTTAACACTGCCATAGCCACGACTGCGCACCTCGTTGACCAACTTGATAAAACACAGCAAGCTTACTTTGTTAGCGACGTCAACCGTAGTTCGGTTGCATGTGAAGGAACAAAACAACTCGCGTTCTAGGACTTTTTTCACGGGCTTGCGCAATTCTCCTTTAGAACATTGCCTGAAATAAGACAAATAATGCAAACGAAGCCATTGGCTAGCATTTGCATTTACACGCCTTGATTGCATTTGGCGCGTGTCCATGGTCATGACCTATGCAATCAGTTTTGTCATGCACAACTAAAGGCATGGTTTCGCAGAAGACTGTAAGAGATTAAGTTTCGGGTCCATATTGCCACTACAAGTGAAAATGTAGACCACAGGGAGTAATTGAGAAGAAGCAGACGGCTTATTTCAGGAGAACGTGTTAAGATTTAAAA